GCATGCCACCAGGATCCAGGAGGCATGGGCTGAGCCCTCGAGAGCAGGTGGCCCTGTCTGCACAGTGTGGGGGCCGTCTTGCACCCCACAGAAGCACAGGGGTGGGTTGGCTGCAGCCACGCCCATGGCAGGGGTGTGGAAGTTGGAGCAAAAATTTTGGGTGATGCAGTGTCTTACTCCAATTGGGCGACCATCACAAAACACTATCGGCTGGGAAGCTTGAGCAATAGACACTTGCCTCCCACAGCTCTGGGGGCTGGAAGGTCTAAGATCAAGGCGCCGGCAACTTCAGCGTCTCGTGAAGGCCAGTTCCCGGCGCAGAGACGCACCTTCTCACTGCATCCTCACGCGGCAGAAGTGGGTGAAGGAGCTCTAGGGGTCTCTTTCATACGGGCGCTAAGCCCATCACGAGGGCCTCATCATTTCCCAGATGCTCAGGCTCCCAATGTTATCCCCTTGTGGGTGAGGACTGGGGGGCATGACTGTGTGGTCCTTAGGAACCATTAGGGAATACATGCTGGGGAGGGTAAGTCTCCACCATCACCCTGAAGATGGGCAGGTGGCGGTCAGGCTTTGGGCAGTGCCAAAAAATGACTCCCCAGGTTGGTAGGAGCAGGATCAAAGAACAAGGGATTTTTTCAGAGATGGCAGCCAAGCAGAAGTTGGGGGCTCATGCCAGGAGGCTCACTTGGCTATGGTGCAGTCAGCCAGAGGTGACCCACAGTCCATGGCAAAGTCAAGGACAGCAGTGGTTGTGAGACCAGGCTGGAGTCAGGTGATTGAGGGGAAAGGACCAGGCCGGAGGACTGGGCAGACCCCAAGGCCATAGAAGTGTCCTGGAGGAAGCATCCAGGATGGTGTCTTGGGAGGGCTCAAAAGCTGGGGGCCCAGAAGGAGGCCATTTCAGGTTCTGAGGAGCAGCCTGGCACTTGCTCTGAGCCAGCTGTCACAGACATCTGGGGCCTGCTGGGTACAACTTGTGTCCCTCCCACTGTGCTCTCCACAAGGACCTGGCTCGCCCTTGTGACCCTGCTGGATCCCCGAGTTGGCACCAGCCCTGCCCTCAGAGAGAATGTACAGGAGGCAGGTAGAGATGCACATGTGGGTCCCTGGGGAAATCCATCCTCCGGCCGTGGGCTCCCAGTTGGCTCCTAGCCTCTGGCTCCAGCTTCACCCCATATAGTTTACCATGGGCTCAACCTCCCATGCTGGGGGAGGACGGAGTGAGGGGTCCCACACTGCCCATGGCACACCCAGGGGGCTAGGGAGACTGCACTGGGCTCGGGCAGGGAGGCCTCGTGCAGGCCGTGGGGCTGGCAGCTCAGAACAACACCCATATCCACTAGCTGTGGCCCTGGCAACACAGCACCCCAGACTGTGTGGCTTAAACAACAGAAGTTTATTCTGTCTTGGTTCTGGAGGCCGGGCATCTGGGATGGAGGCCTTGGTGAGGCTGACTCCTCTGTGTCATAGGAGAGTCTGTCCCAGGCTCTCTCCTGGCTGCTGGGCGTTGCCGGCCGTCTCTGCCGCTCCTGGCTTGTGGAAGCAGCGCCATCTTCACAGGGCATTCTCCCCACGTGCTGTCTGTGCCCAGATTCCCCCTTTTGATGAGGACAGCAGTCATATCAGATCAGAGGCTCGCCCTACTCCAGGGTGACCTCATCTGAACTTGATTGCACTTGCAAAGACTGTTTCCAAACAAGGTCACATTCTGAGGTCCTGGGGGTTAGGACTTCAATACATGAATTTATAGGGGAACACACTTTAACCCATGACACTTTGCCTCTGCTCCCCTCATAATCATGTCCTTCTCACATGTAAAACTTCTGAATCCCATAGCAGCATCTCCAAGATGGCTAACCCCTTCTAGTACCAACTCTTAGTCCACAATCTCAGCTAAATATCACCTGCATCAAGTGTGGGAGAAACCCAGGGTGAGATTCATTCTGGGGTGAAATTCCTCTCCATCTGTGGACCTTTGTAACTGGACAAGAAGCTACCTGCTTCCAAAGTGCAATGATGGGACAGGCATAGGATAGACATTCCCATTCTGAAAGGTATACATCAAAAGGGAGTAATGAGCCATGGGTCCCAAGCAAGCCCAAAACCCAGCAGGGAAAACTGCATTAGATTTAAGACTCAAGGCTCATCCTCCTGGGTCAATGCTCCATCTTCCAGGTCCACTGGGGTGACCCCATGCTCTTGGCCTATGGTGGTCAGAGCCCCCACAGCCTCCTCATCCTTGGCTCTGATCTCAAAGTCACCCTTCCTTCATTGTGTCTGGTCTCCTTCCCCTTCCATCCAACCTGGCATTGTTTCTGCTGTTTTATAATTCACAAAAGCCTTGTCAGCTTCCCATGAAATTCATCGGGGTTCGAGTCATCAGACAAGAGAGCCCTGTACAGTTATATCCTCAATAACCTCATCTCTACTCCTGGTTTCTGCTGAGATGTTTGATTGGATCCATAAGTCATGATTCCAATCTCTTTAACAAATTATTGCCCAGACACATCCTTGGCCTTGTTTCCAGAGCACACAATTGGACAGGCTGAGAATTTGCCAGCTGTTGAAGTTGTGGGTCCTGTTTACTGAACACTTTCTTCTTCAACTGATCTCTCTCCTCTCACATTTTACTATAAGCAGTTGGGAGAAATCAGGTTGTGCCTTCAACACTTTTCTTAGAAATATCCTCAGCTAAACATCCAAGTTCATCACTTGTAAGTCCTACTTACCATAAAAAGAATGTGATTCAGCAAAGTCCTTTGCCACTATAACAACGGTCACCTTTCCTCAAATTTTCAATAACATGTTGCCTTACCAGAGGCATCTTTAACATTCACGTTTCTAGCAACATTCTGTTTGTGACAATTTATGTATTCTCTAAGATGACAGACGTTTTCTCTATAGCTCTCCTCTTTCTTTCTGAGCCCCTACCAGGATCACCTTTAATGTCCAAATCTCTACCAATAGTCTTCAAGGAAACCTAGGCTTTTTCTAACATGCATCTCAAAACTCTTCTCACCTCTACACATTACCCTATCCCAAATTCATTTCCACAGTTTTAGGTATCGATTAAATCAGCACCCCACTTCTAAAGCCAAATCTGTTTTAGTTTCTTTTGAGCTATTGTAACAAAGTACCACAACTGCATGGCTGAAACAACAGAAATGTATTCTCTCTCATTTCTGGAGGCCAGGTGTCTGAGATCAAGCTGTGGGCAGGGTTGGTTCCTCCGGGTTGGCAAGGAGAACCTGTTCCAGGCTTCTGTCCTGAATTGTGTTCGTTTGCTGGGAAACTTTGGTGTTCCTTGGCTTTTGGAAACAGCTCCTCCATCTCCACCTTTACCTTCATTTGGCATTCTGCCTGTGTGCATGTCTGCCTAAGTTTCCCCTTTGCATAAGGACACCAGTCATATTGGATCAGAGGCTCACCTGCCTCCAGCGTGACCTCATCTTAACTTGATTGCACCTGCAAAAGTCTACTTCCAAAGAAGGGCACATTCTGAGGCCCTACAGGTCAAAGCTTCAACACATCCATTTATTTGAAGACACAACTCAACCCAAAACAAGACCCATCCTTAGTGTCTCACCAGTGGTGCTGTAGAGGGAGGCCTGGCAGGGCTGACATCCCAGAACCTCAGGGAAAAGTGAAAATAGCACAGAGAAGTCCAAGAGGCGGCTCAAGGAAGGGAATTAGGAAGGGAGTTTTGAGGTGCATGTTAGAAAAAGTCTAGGTTTCCTTGAAGACTATTGGTAGAAATTTGGACATTAAAGGTGATCCTGGTGGGGGCTTAGAAAGAAAGAGGAGAGCTAAAGAGAAAACGTCTGTCATCTTAGAGAATACATAAATTGTCATAAACAGAATGTTGCTAGAAATGTGAATGTTAAACATGCCTCTGGTAAGGTCCCAGAGGTGGAAGATTCTGTTCAGGTGGAAGACTCTGAGGTGGGCCATGAATACTGCCTAGGATGTGGAGGGTTGACAATGGGTTGACAATCCTGCTCAGAAAATCCCAGGAAAAAGGATGTAAATGGAGAAAAGAGGAGGGTCATCCAGTGTTTGGGAAAGCAGGGCGGCAGGTTCTGCCCCAAGGGAGAAGGGAAGGAGGATGGGGCCACCGCCACACCGGATGACCTTGTGTACCAGGCTGAAGAACGGGAACAACTGGCCCCACCTGAGCAGTGACAGTCAGTGTGGTGGTGGGAAGACGTGGGTGGAGCCAGGGGGTGAGTAGAAGGTTAGACTAAGACAGAGCACCTGGGCCCACCAGGGACCCAGGCAAGAACTCTACACTTGCTCAGCTGCCCGGGGTACCCAGGTCTCCAGGAAAGTGAGGCTGAGAGCCAAGCCCAGCAGGCAGCCACACATTCTGGGACCTGCCACCCTACAGCCTGCTGTCCATGAATAGCACCCCTTACAAGGGGCCAGGCCAGCTCACGGGTCTGTCCCAGGCAGCAGAGCCCCTGGGGCCGGGCATTAGGGAGAGAAGGATCCAATCCCACCAGCTCCTCTGGAGCCACTCAGAGGACCAGACGCATGGCCCCTGCGGAGCAGCTGAGGACCCATGGCTGGAGGCCTGGGCAGGGGGGCCACACAGCCCTAGGCCCATTACTCCCAGGCTTGAGGGCCCCTCCTCCCCTCAGGGGCCCAAGGGAAGTGGTTCCCAGATAGACTAGGGGTAGCAGGGAAGGTGGAGGTCCCAGGAATGCCCAGAGGGGTACCAAAGCCTCTGGAAGGAAGACCTCTCCCTTCCAAGGGCTCTCAGCAACAGCAGCCCAGTGTCCGCAAAGCCACGGGTCCCACTCAGTTATGCTGATAGGAGCAGCAGTCGGGACATTCGCGTGCACAGGCCACCTGGCCAGCCCTGCTCAACCTGGGAACTCCTCCTGGACCCCTTCTCCCTGGCTCCCCTGTCATTCTGCTGCCAGGGACCTCTGCCCTGCCCTGCCCCTTGTCCTCAGAGCCTCCAACCTCAGACTCCCACTGTGTCTGTCTTCCAGCATCCACCAAGGCTCCGGATGTGTTCCCCATCACATCAGCGTGCCAACTCCCAAAGGATAACAGCCCTGTGGTCCTGGCATGCTTGATAACTGGGTACAACCCAAAGTCCGTGACTGTCACCTGGCACCTGGGGACACAGATCCAGAACCAGATTATGTTCCCTGAGACAGAGAGAGAGGGCAGCTACATGACAAGCAGCCAGCTCGCCCCCACCCCACCCCTCTCCCAACAGCACCAAGGCGAGTACAAATGCACCGTCAAGCACATCCCCAGCGATACAAACAAGGCGAAGACCTTCCGCTGGCCAGGTGGGTAGCACTGGAGATCACCTAGAAGGGTCCCCCAGGATCCCCAGCACCTTCCACTCAGGGCCCGACCACAAAGACAGAAGCAAGGGCTGGGCTGTGAGGCAACCCCCACCTCTCCCCTCGGGGTACATCCTTCCCCACTTACCCTGTATCCACCCCACTGGACCTCCCCTTCCCTCTCCCTCAGCCCCTCCGCTCCCTCTCTCTGCAGCCCCATCTCCCAACATTCAGATCCCTTTCCTTCCAGACCTTTCCCCCAGTATGCACGGAGGCAGCTTGCCCAGCAAAGGTGGCTGTTGAGTGGGCTTCCCACAGCCAAGCTCGCACCCCATGCTGTGGCCCCTCCCTTCTGCCTGCCTGGCTCCCTGTGCCCCCACCTACCTGTCCACAACCCAGCCTCTGGTACATCCATGCCCTCTGCCCTCACCCTCACCTGCACTGTTTCTTGGATTTCAGAGTCTCCAAAGGCACAGTACCCCTCAGTGCCCACTGTACAGCCCCAAGCAGAGGGCGGCCTCTCCAAGGCAACCAGACCCCCGGCCACCAACAGGAACACAGGTGAGAAGCCCTTTCCCTGCACCCCACCCCCACTTACCTGCTCATTCCTCAGCTGCCTCCTGCAGGCAGCCCTTCATAACTCCTTGTCTGAGTCTCCAAGTCACACTGTGGGTAAGGAAAGGGACATTGAACTGACCTCTAACAAACACCTACAGCCAGCCAGTCTGTGGGACAGCAGATGCCAAACAGCCAGCAGACTCCCAGAGCAGACCTGAGCCGGCTCCCTGGCCCATGGACCCAGCTCTGCCTCGCTGGGCTGAGGCATGGGCTCTTAGTGCAGCCTCACATAGAGCCACCCTGCTGAGGCAGTCTGGCTCGCAGACTCACAGGTGACTTGGGCTGCAGCAGCCCCTCCCCGTGACCCTCACCTCCTGCCTGCCCCAGGCCTGGCTCTCTGCAAGTGTTGGGTCCTGATGGCCAGCCTGCTTCTCACCCTCACCCTGCCTGCCACTTCAGAATGGCAAAGGAAAGAGGGTCCTCACCAGGAACTTTATCTGAGAAGTCTGAGGCTTGTGACTCTGACCCACCTGAGATGTCCATGTGGCTGGGGGGACGGGTTCAGTGTTCGGGAGAACCCAGGTACGTGCCTGACCTTCTCTGAGTAGGGCAGGAGGCTGTTAGGAGAAGCAGCAGTAGGTGGGCTGGACCAACAGGCAGAATGACTATCCCTCACCCACCCTCTGGGGTGTGGGTCAAGCTCTGACAAGGGCATGGCACAGCCATGGTGGCCCCTGCCTGGATGAGTGGCCACAGTGCCCTCACCCTGAGCAAGAATCTGCCTCCACTCTGCAGGTGCAGAAACACGACATTCCCATCTCTAAACATACCTAGCTCCCAGGCTTGGGGTGGGTCAATTGCATGCAGGGAGATGGACACAGCACAGGGGCCAGAGCTTCCCGTGAGAAAGGTGAGGGCAGCTGCTCCCTGACCCAGGCATCTGCACTTGTTCCTCTCCACCCTCCTCATGGGCAGTGGAGACTCAGCAACAAAACAAGCTGAGTGCGTTGGCGACCAGCTCTGGAGCCAAGTCACTCACCCCACTGCCTTGTCTGCTGTTGGAGGGGCCTTCCCCTGGGCAGCCTTCAAGAAGACGGCCAAGTGCTCTTACTCAGACCACAGTGCTACTTCCTGGCACCTCAATGTCCCACAACAATACGGGGTGCAGACAGGCGAGGGCTTCCTGCCCTGGGGCCTGGAGAGCATCCAGTCAAAGATGACCCTTCATAGGTGGCCTGAGATGTGCTGACCTCAGCAGCTGAGCCCTCAGGTCTGGTCTGCACTGCCCCACCTGGAGGACCCAATTGACCCAGACACAGCCAGGGTTATGGCATGACCCCGTGGACAGTGACCCACAGGCCAGATACAGCCAGGGCCTGTCTTGTGTGGCCTAGAAATGTCTTTATTTTAGTGGGATGGAGGAGGAAGAGAAAGAGGGGAGGGAGAGAGAAAAACAGGGAAGAGGAAGAAGAGGAGTTCAATGCAGTCTCTACCAAAATTTCAATGACATTCTTCACAGAAGTGGAAAAGACCATCCTAACGCACATATGTAGCCACAGAAGACCCCAAAAGCCAAAACAATTTTGAGCAGAAAGAACAATGCAGGAAAAATCCCAGTACCTGAATTCAAAACATACTGTAAAGCAGTTGTAATCAAAACAGGATGGTACATCATAAAAACAGACACACAGACCCATGGAACACACAAGCGAGCCAAGAAATAAATCTACATGTTTGCAGTCCATTGATTTTCAACAAAGGCACCAGGAAAACACAATGCAGAGAGGACAGTTTCCTCAATAAATAGTGCTGTTCGGGAAACTGGATATCCATGTGCAGACCACTGAAACTACACAAAAATCAATTGAAAACAGTCTAGGCCGGTGGCTCACGCCTGTAACCCCAGCACTTTGGGAGGCCGAGGCAAGGCGCATCACCTGAGGTCAGGAGTTTGAGACCAGCTTGGCCAACATGGCAAAACCCTGTCTCTACTAAAAATACAAAATTTAGCACATGGTGGCCCACACCTGTTATCCCAACTTTTCGGGAAGCTGAGGCAGGAGAATCACTTGAATCCAGGAGGTAGAGGTTGCAGGGAGCCGAGATTGTGCCACTGCATTTCAGCCTGGACAACAGAGTGAGACTGTGTCTCAAAAAGAAAAAAAAAAAAAAAAAAAAGAAAAAGAAAACAGTCTAAAGGTTTAACTGAACAGATAAAGCTACTAGAAGAAAACATAGGGAGAAAACTCCATGACATTAGTTTGAGCAACAATTTTTCAGTATGATCCCAAAAGCTCAGGCAGCCGAAGCAAAAATACACAAATGGGATTACGTCAAACTTCAAAGCTTCTGCACAGCAGAGGGAACAATCAACAGTGAAGAGACAACCTATGGAATGGGAGAAAATTCTTTGCAAACCCTACAACTGAGAAGGAACTAATATCCAAAATGTATAAGGAACTCAACAACTCAGTACTAAGAAAACAAATAACTCAATTTAAAAATGGGTGAAGTAGGCCGGGCGCGGTGGCTCAAGCCTGTAATCCCAGCACTTTGGGAGGCCGAGATGGGTGGATCACGAGGTCAGGAGATCAAGACCATCCTGGCTAACACGGTGAAACCCCATCTCTAATAAAAAATACAAAAAACTAGCCGGGCGAGGTGGCGGGCGCCTGTAGTCCCAGCTACTCGGGAGGCTGAGGCAGGAGAATGGCGGGAACCCGGGAGGCGGAGCTTGCAGTGAGCTGAGACCCGGCCACAGCACTCCAGCCTGGGCGACAGAGCGAGACTCCGTCTCAAAAAAAAAAAAAAAAAAAAAAAAAAATGGGTGAAGTATCTCAGTAGACATTTATGAAAAGAAGACCTTAATGGCCAATACATGCACGAAAAAGTGCTCAACCTCACTAACCCTCAGAGGAATTAAGATTAAAACCATAATGAGATATCATTTCATAGCTGTTAGGATTCCTATCACCAAAAAGACAGAACTTAACATATGTTCGTGGGGCTGTGGAGGAAAGGAACCCTGGTGCACTATTGGTGGGAATTCAATTAGTAGGGCCATCTTGGAAAACAGTATGGAGCTTCCTCAGAAAACAAAACATGGAAGTACCGTCCCACCTGGTAATGCCACTGCTGGCGACAGAGCCAAAGGGCAAGAAGTCACTATTTAGAAGAGACATCTGCATTCATGCTCATGGCAGCACCAGTAACAAAAGCCAAGATATGGAACCAACCTAAGCACCCTCAGCATATGCATGGGTAAAGAAAATGTGGTATGTATGGGGCGCAATGGAATACTACTCAGCCTTTAAATTTTTAAAGAGTGAAATTCTATCATTGGCAACAATGTAGATGAACCTGAAGGGCATTTAGGCTAAGCGAAATAAGCCAGGCACAGAAAGAGCAATACTGCATGATTGCACTTACATTTGGAATGCTAAAAAGGCAAATTCTTAGAGGCAGAGAGTAGAGAGGTGGGTGCCAGGGAGCAGGCACTGGTGACTGCGGAGATGTTGGTCAAAGGGCACAAAACTTCAGTTGGGAGGAATTAGTTCAGGACATTCCTTGTACATGGGGACTGTAGTTAGTAACAATGGATTGTATTCTTGAAAACCACTAAGAAAATAGATTTTAAGTGTTCTTGCCACAAAAAGTGACAAGTATGTGAGATAATGCATGGTCATTAGCTTGATTTAGCCATTCCACAATGTACACATATTTCAAACATTGTGTTGTACATGATAAACATATATAATTTTTGTCAATTAAAAATTTTTAGGAAGAAGAGAAAAGGAGGACGAGGAGGAGAAACAACAACAAGAGGGAGAGACAAAGACCCCAGGTTTTTTCTGACCCCTGGGTTGTCAAAACACCTATGACCCAATAACTAGTTGGCCGTTGGCACCCTAAACTATAGAAGTGATTGCTGTTGTGTGGATGGGCCCTGGACACTTAGAAGCTCATGACCCCTGAGGACCCCCACGAGGACAGTCAGAGTCCCCCCGAACTCAGGGAGCACTGAGGAAGGAGCTCTTAGAAGCGTGGGGCCTCTCAAGCCCCTCAGAGGGCTCTGCCACATGGGTCGGGGGCAGGCTGAGGAGGAGTCCCAGGCTCCATGGGCAGCCTCTGTGCCTCTGACCAGGGTGTCCCCCACACTGCCACCTCCCCAGTGCCCTCCACTAGCCACACCTGGCCAGAAGCCAGGGGGAGGAGAGCCCAGTGGTTAAGTCAGTCCCTGCAGGGAGACGGCACCAGAAAAAAAACCCGGCCTGTGGATGAGTCCCGGCCTGGCAGCCACAGAGCAGAGAGCTCTGGAAGCAACGAAGCCCCAAGTCTGCTCAGGGAAGAGCCGGCAGCAGCCTTGGGGCCAGACAGTGACCAAGAGTGCACCGCCCATGGCCCAACGGGTCTTTGCCCATGGACCCCCCAGCTCCTGGAGACAGGGTCGGTGCACCTGGCCATGCAGGCAGGCCCCACACTCATGGGGAGGCTGCTGTGGAGCTCTGTGCAGCGCCCGGGGCGGGAGCCAGCTGCTCTCGAGGGTCCAGCCACAGCTGTTCTCCTTTGGTCTCCCCCGCAGAGTGTCCAAGCCACACCCAGCCTCTCGGCGTCTACCTGCTGCCCCCGGCCCTGCAGGACCTGTGGTTCCGAGACAAAGTCACCTTCACCTGCTTCGTGGTGGGCAGTGACCTGCAGGATGCCCACCTGTCCTGGGAGGTGGCCGGGAAGGTCCCCAAAGGGGGCATGGAGGAGGGGCCGCTGGAGCAGCACAGCAACGGCTCCCAGAGCCAGCACAGCCGCCTGGCCCTACCCAGGTCCTTGTGGAATGCGGGGACCTCCGTCACCTGCACACTGAACCATCCCAGCCTCCCATCCCAGAAGCTGATGGCGCTGAGAGAACCCGGTGAGGCCGGCTCCCAGGTGGGGAGATGAGGGTGCCCGCAGCCTGCCGACCCCCACGCCTGCCCCAGGGCCATGACCCCAGCTGGGCCCCAGCAGCACCCATCATCTTTCACAGGAAAGGAGAAGGGAGGCACCAGCACCCTGGCCGGCCCCGCTTCTCTCCCAGTGCCCCCTGTGGCCTGAGCCCGACAGCCTCCCCCGCCTCCCCGCAGCGCCCCCTGTGGCCACAGCCCGACAGCCTCCCGGCCTCCCCGCAGCGCCCCCTGTGGCCACAGCCCGACAGCCTCCCCCGCCTCCCCGCAGCGCCCCCTGTGGCCACAGCCTGACAGCCTCCCCTGCCTCCCTGCAGCTGCCCAGGCACCCGTCAGGCTTTCCCTGAACCTGTTGGCCTCGTCTGACCCTCCGGAAGCAGCCTCATGGCTCCTGTGTGAGGTGTCTGACTTCTCGCCCCCCAACATCCTCCTGATGTGGCTGGAGGACCAGCGCGAGGTGAACACTTCTTGGTTTGCCACCACGCACCCCACTCCACAGCCCGGGAGCACCATGTTCTGGGCCTGGAGTGTGCTGCGTGTCCCAGGCCCGACCAGCCCTCAACCAGCCACCTACACGTGTGTGGTCAGCCACGAGGACTCCAGGACTCTACTCAATGCCAGCCGGAGCCTGGATGTCAGCTGTAAGTCACCCCTAGACCCAGGGTTGGGAGGGGGACTCTGTGGGGGACCATAAGGAGCTGGACTCCGTACTGGGCAGGGGTGGGGCACTGGGCAGGGGCAGGGCTATGCTGCCCGGGGCACACAGGCTCCTTCTCAGTGCCTGGCAGGAGCAAAGGCTTCCCAGTACTCCTGGGCCGTGGGTGTCCCAGCGCCCATCCTCACTGGCCACACCACGTGCTGGCCCAGGCTGGCTAGCACAGTAAGAGATGGATACGACCCTTCGCCATGCCCTGAGGAGTGGTGGTTTCCTGCTAAGACGCTCCTCATGGCTAGGTGCTGGGCACAGGCCTTCCCTGGTGTGACCGTGAATGTGGTCATCCTGAGCAGCTGCCCTCCCTGGGGACATCTGACTGTCAAGACCACAGTCAGCACCTCTGGGAGCCAGAGGGGATCTCCAGAGACCCCCAGATGTCAGGTTTGGGCTCAGTGCCCAGTGAAAGGTCAGCCCCACACATACCCACAGTGGGCGCCAACCCAGAGTGACAGCTCCCAGCCTCCTGCCAGGCCCACCCTTTGCCACCCCCTTGAGGCACAGCACCCAGACCAGTGCAGCCCCTGCCCGAGCATGGCCCCAGCGGGACATGTGGCCATGAGGGGCTGTGCACACAGCAAGAGGGTGTCCGCTCTGCTCAGGGCCTGCTGCCAGTGCCCCAGCTGTCTAGCCAAGGGAGGCGCAGAAGGGCCCCAGGTGTGAGCTGTAGCCAGGCGCCCAGCCGCTCTGCAGAGCCAGGGAAAGGAAGACACCCAAGTCAATAAGGGGCAGGGCTGAGGGCTGTCCCAGGCTCTGTTGGCCCCAGGGGCTGCCAGCAGCCCTGACCCAGCATGGGCCTTCCCGAAGAGTGACCCTGTGAGGTGGCCTCACAGAGAACCCCCTCCGAGGACAGTGTTTGATCCTGCCTGCCTCACACAGATGGGCCCCACAGCAGTGGATGGCCTGTGGGGCAGCAGCCCCACCTGACCCTTCAGGCATGCCCCCTGCAGCAGCAGCTGCTTCTCAGTCCCCCAACTTCCCTGTCCCCAACAGATGGTCTCCCCTGAAGCTGCAGCCCCAGCCCATGGCTGCCCACCAGGGGCCGGGACTCCCTGTCCACTGCCCCCTCCCCTTCGGGGCACCATCTGTGCTGGGGCCCAGGTTCAGCCTACAGATTCCCATCATTGCCATGGCCTCCTGACCTTGCCTGTCCACCCCCCACTATGGGCTCCACGCTGACCCTCCCCCAGGCTCCCACGCCCAGCTGTCCAGTCATCTCCAGGCACAGTCTGAGATCTCACAGGTGAGCTGGACCATCCACCTGGCCAGACCTGGGAGAGACGGGAAGCTGCCACCACACACCAGGGCCCCAGCTTGCAGTACTATGGGGGGTGTGTGTGTGTACCCGTGTGTACCTAGGATATCTGAGTGAACTCTTATGCCCCCAAGAACAAGTCTCCCTCCCAAGCAGTGAGGCCCAGACGGTGCAGTGGTTAGAGCTAAGGCTTATCCCGGAGAACCCTGGCGCCTCGGTCCAAGGAAGCCCCTGTGCTTTTCTTGCCTCGATTTCCCCTCTTGTCTGCTGAGCCAGCAGGGGCCACGTCCTGGGCTGCTGTGAGGAGGAAGTGAGTTGGTGCTAGGAGGGGCTCCTGTATGTGCGTGGGCGGGCGGGGTGCAGGTATCTGAGCACCCCGGCCTCCACCTGAGAGAGCAGGGCAGGAGCTCTCTGACCCACCCAGACCACACATGGTGTGTTCCACGTGTCTCACGTTATCTGGGGCAGAGAATCCAGCTTCTTTCTAAATTTCCAGTTCTTCACAAAACAATGCCTTTGTAAAATGCAGTAAGAAATACTAGAAAAATGATATGAACAGAAAGACACGCCAATTTTTTGTTATTAGATTTAACAGACCGTGGCCCCGTGAAATGATCCCTGGAACAGATCCGTCCACACCCGCCACTCAGCAGCCCTGGCTGAGCTCACAGTACAACCACAATAAACGCTTGTTGAATGAACACTAGGAAATCTGTGACGTGGCTGGTTCTTGTCAATGCTTCCTGCCCGCCCACAGGCTCTTCCTCATGGAGGGGGCTGTGCTGGCCACGGAAGTGTTTTTCCCAGCCTGGGCTTGCCTTGGGCCCCACTACCGTCTCCAGCTGCAGATTACCTTTTACACACACATTTGTTCGTGACAGACCCTTGCTTAGCCCCTTCCATGGCTCCCTCCTGCTGCTGGGATAAAATCGCCTTGCCTGGATCTCCCCTCCTGGGCCCCTTTCCACCCTCCTGGGTCAGCCCCTCCAGTTCAGGGCATCTGCTTTCCCCCTCATGGAGAAGCCACTCTGTCCTTGTTGCCTGGCTGTGTCTTGCCTTCCACACCTTGTCACAGTGGCCACTTCCTAAAGAAGGCCTCCAAGTGTGCAGGTGTGCAGAAGTGCCCCAGCCTCCCATCACCCTTGTCACAGGAGCCCAAACCACGAGAGTCTATGGTTCTGTCTGTCTGCCCCACTCAGGGCAGCGACATGTCCAGGCGGGGAGGACCCAGTGGGCAGAGGCTCGTCAAGGGGGCAGATGAGCAAGAGGGCGAGGCTGGGAGCTCCCTGGAGATAACCATGCCTCCTGGAAAGACTCGCCGTCATTTCAGCTCCACCCTGTGTGGGGCGGGTAGAGGAGTAGCCTGGCCCTCAGGACCAGGGAGCTTCTCACTCAGCCCCTGTTCCTCCCCAGACCTGGCCACAACCCCCCAGATCCCTCAGAGCAAGGATGAGAACAGCGATGACTACACGACCTTGGATGACATGGGCAGCCTGTGGACCACCCTGTCCACGTTCGTGGCCCTCTTCGTCCTCACCCTCCTCTATAGCGGCATTGTCACTTTCATCAAGGTCAGGGGAGCCGCCAGGCTCTCGGTGCCCCTCGGGGTGGGTACGGGGCAAGGTGCCCTTCCAGGGGACATGCCGGAGCTGGTCCGGATATCTTGGACAGGGCAGAGGCAGTGCTGAGGGAGCCTAGAGGACATGCAGGCCCACTGTGGGCTGTGGACACTGCCAAAGGCCCTCTTGACCCTGTGGATAAAGGACAACACCCCCTCCCCTGCTCCTCTGTCTCCCCTGCCCCTGCACCCCTCAGGCTTCTAGCCCCCGTCTGACCCCAGGGGCTGTCTTGCAGGTGAAGTAGCCCTAGAAGAGCAGGACGCCCTGTACCTGCAGAAAAGGGAAGCAGCCTCTGTGCCTCATCCGTGGATGCCAGAGAGCAGAAAGGACCCACCCTGGACTCTGCTGTACGCAGGAAAATGCACCAGCCCCTGCCTCCAGCTCCCCTCTGTCCGCCACAGAACGCAGTCTTCTAGACCAGGGGAACGGGCACCCATCACTCCGCAGGTGAAGCGGAGCACCCCTGCCCTGGCCCTAACCCCTGTGCCTCCTTCCTGTGCTTCCCCCAGAGCCAGCTAGTCCCATCTGCACCCCCCGGCCTCCCCATAAACACGCTTTGGTTCATTTCACCTGCCTCCTGTGCTTTGTCCCAGCGGCCTGGATTCACCTGAAGTTAAAGGACACAGGGAGCTGAAGGCAATAGGCAGGGAGTTTGGGGTGTCAGCAGCAACAGGGAACACAATAGCCAAAGCTGTCACAGCAAGAACTGAGCAGAGACCCTGCTCTGAAGTTATGGGCTAAGAAACGCCCCTCCACACACCAAACACAAACATGCACGCTCACCTGTACATGCACACACATGCACACACACATCTATGTGCACATACACATATGCACAGCTCACAAACACATATGCACACACATGCAGTACACCCACATGCATGCAAACAGGCAGATGCACAGGCATGGGCACACACGCACAAGGCATGCATGTGCTGGTCTGCAGACACACACATCTGCATGCACATACACGGATGTGCACCTGCACACACACAAGTGCACATAGGCATCAAAAACACATATGGTCATGCACACACATACACACAGACATGCACACTTACACATGCACACACCATGAGAAGATGGCACAGGAACAACCTTGCATATGGAGCTCTTTCTGTGTGTATCTGCCTGCACCTCTTACTGTCTGCATGACTGTGGGCAAGAGCCTGAACCCTGTACCTCCCTTTCCTCATCAGAATGGGGTGAAAATACCTGTCAAGTAGAGTGAGGTGACAAGTGAGTAAAATTCTATCTGAAAGGGGCTCAGCAAGGACCCGGGTATTGGTCGGCCCTCCTGTTATCGTCTGCTGTGAGCTGAACATGTGTGTCCTCCTGAAATTCATACATTCATATATTCATACATTTCTCCCTGAAATCCTAACCTCCAATGTAATGGTATTAGAAGATGGGGTTTTTAGGGGTGCTGAGGTCATAAAAGTGGGGCCCTCAGGAAGAAGATTAGCGCCCTTATAAGAGAGGCCCCAGAGAGCTCCCTCACCCTTTCTCCCTTGCGAGGAGATGCTGTCTATGAACTAGGATGCAGGCCTCGCCTGACACCCGTCTGCTGGAGCCTTGGTCTGGGACATTCAGCCTCCAGAACGGTGAGAAATCTGTTGTTTATGAGCCACCATGTCTATAGTATGTGGAAGTCATCAGAATCAAAATTGAGTCACCTGTTTTTTTTTTAATCCCTGACAAATAGAGCCTAGGAAGACCAAGAGGAGAAGTGGGTTCTCATCCGTAAACACTTGATAACAAAAACTACCATAAAAGACTCTACAAAAACTGCAACTGGCACAAAGGCTATCACAACCTTACACAGAAAATACTTCTGTGAGGACATCTTCCCAGCAACGGCCTGTCCAACCTCCGACTGGCATTGCCTTTGTTATTGGTCCTTGTAGCAAGGGTAATGATCTCAAAACAATCATGTAATCCTCCTCACTTTTCCTTTGAAAGCCTTGATCTCCCTTTGCCTCCCTGAATACGTACATAGTTGACTATGGCAGGCATATCCCATTGCAATGCTCTATCCGCAAATAGATATATTTTTCTTTTAGAGGGCCTTTCTCTGTTATTTCGGTTGAGATAAATGGAGTCAGAAGTGGGATGTGGAGAAGGATCACTGCTGGAAGGAATCAGCAGTTCCTGGGGCCGGTGTGCATATTCACTTGAGCCCTTTGAGCTCTCAGCTTCCACGGCTTGCTTTTTCTGACCTACTCAATCTTCTCTCAGGCCAAACCCTCCTTCTTTTTAGAAAATGCTTTTTTAATATTAGGTCAGGTTTGTTTTGGTTATTGGACTGCCTTCATAAAGGACCGTATGTCCCTCCTGGAATGATAAAAGACTTTTTGTGTTTTCTGGCAAGTCCTGTTTGGCATCAAGACATTCCGGTCTGAGTACTCTGGTTTCTACAGAGTTTGCATTCTGTCTCTGAGGGATGTCTTCTCTGGCGAGGTGACTTTGGCTCTTTCTGTATGCCTCATTTAATATTTTGTTGGATATGCATGCTTGGGTTAACATTTTTGTGAGCACCATTATCTTGCCCTTTTTTTTTTTTTTTTTTTTTTTTGCTGTGGTTGTGTGTATCTGTCAACGATTTGGCTCTTTTCCTCTGCTTGTTTCTAAAAATCTTTTGAGAGCAAAACAAACATTCTAAATGGTGGGCACAGGCTGGCTCATTAAAAGCTGCTACAGCAGTCACCACCATCTAAAGCACCAGTCCAAACTGCCGGCGTGGCCTCATAGCATCTGTAGAATGTTCTTTACTGTAAAAAGATTATTAAGAAGGGGAATGGTTTTTAAATATTAAGGCATGCCAAGTTTTCTGGGACTCCCACTGGCTACATCCTTGTGCACATTTTTAAACTAATGGGCAAATTACATCAAGGAAAACTTAGAGTTCAAATGGTCATTGTTCCAACTCTCTAACAAAAACCCTGCAACTGTAGTCACCATGTAGAGCCTCCTAACTCCTCTGTCTCTCTATTTTTTTTTCTGCCGACTTTAAACCTGCTGATGTTTCTACTCATGTTGCAATAAAACTCACTGGTTACAGCATTCCAGCCAAGATTTTTTGTTTTTTGTTTTTTGAGCTGGAGTCTTGCTCTGTCACCTAGGCTGGAATGCAGTGGTTCCCTTCTTGGCTCACTGCAACCTTTGCCTCCCGGGTTCAAGTGATTCTCCCGCCTTAGCCTCCTGAGTAGCTGATTACAGGTGCTCACCACCATGCCCAGCTAGTTTTTGTATTTTAGTAGAGATGGGTTTTCACTTTGTTGGCCAAGCTCGTCTGGAACTCCTGACCTCAAGTGATCCGCCTGCTTTGGCCTCCCAAAGTGCTAAAACTATAGGCCTGAGCCACCGCGCCTGGCCCAAGATGTTTTAAAGTTTCTTAAAGGTTTTAAATTAATGGCTTTACAAATTACAACAGCTTTATGGTAACCAATGACCTAGATCTAAGAGTCATTTCTGTTGAAAATGTAAATTTAGGTTTGCCTGGCTAACAATTGCTTAGGCTGATGGAATAGCTAACTGAAGGACTGACAGTCTAAAAGAAAAGAACTAGGTAAATATTTATAGAAATTAGGCTCTCAGATAGAACAGGCCAAAATCTCGAGCTTAGAGCGGTAATACAAGGTATCTCTGTCTGCCATAAAAATTTTGCTTTGCCACACAGGTGCCAGAAAAAGGAAAAACACTGCTAAAATGCTTCCCTGCATGCATTGTCTAGTCCAGAAAATCAGACCAGCAACCAAAAAATAGATCTGTTACTAGTATAGACTAGCTGAAGATTTTTGTTTCTCATATGCAATTCAGCCAGTCCTAGCTAAAACACAATCACTGAAAATTTAACCTTAAATTCATTTAAAACTGAAAAAGGTCTTTTGAAATCAAACTAATGCAGACACTGTTTTAATGCAGTTTTCTGCTTTAACGCAGAAACCCAAAATTCTGATCCATGGCTCTCATTAGATTACCTATCAGGACAAATAAAGTTTAGCATGTGAACAAGTCCCAGTTTTGTCAAAAACATAATTTGGATTGACGTGTCTTTTAGAAATTGATAGATTTGTGTTATTATCTCATGACCAAAATTCTAAAATGAAAGCTATAATGTCTTTATTTGTGTGTGTATGTGGTTAAGTGTGTTTATGCATATGTATGTGTATTATGTTGTATGTTGTATCTACATGGTAAAATCTGGCATCATCAACAAAAAATCTATTAAGGGATTCTATTTAGATTGGCTTAAATAAATGAGAATTCATAAAAACTATATACTAATTAACCCAAATGCCTTTTAGTTCATGTGACTTAAGTATATCTTTAATAAATAAATCACTTTTTAAATTGTTGGTAAAATAAAAATACAAATATTCTCAGAATTGTCAGCATACATTTTTGCCCGAGTTTACTGGTCAGGCAGTTTTATATTTGTCTCTGACAGATGTTTTAAGATGTCAGGGTTTGACACAAAGATGATAAAACTATAAACCCATCCTAAAACAGAATAATCTTTATATGATCTTTGACAAATAAGACTAATTTGGTTTGGTGCGATGGCTCAGACCTGTAATTCCAGCACTTTGGGAGGCCAAGGTGGGCAGATCACTTGAGGTCAGGACTTTGAGACCAGCCTGGCCAACACAGCAAAATCCCATCTCTACTAAAAATACAAAATTAGCAAGGCATGGTGGTGTGCATAATCCCAGCTACTTGGGAGCCTGAGGCAGGAAAATCACTTGAACCTGGGAAGCAGAGGTTGCAGTGAGCCAAGATAGCGCCACTGCACTCCAGCCTGGGCAGCAGAGCGAGACTCCATCTCAAAAAAAAAAAGACTAATTTAATATGACTGGCTTAATAAAAACAGCTGTATCTTCTGAGTTATCGACAAAATACCCATACACTTAACTAAGTTTCTTACTTAAGTGAACATCTAATAATCACAGGCTATAAGAATGGTTAAAAGGGAAATAACTTTCAGTGATGGCTAGCTTTGTCTAATATATCAATTTTCATAAGTAATCTAGGTAAATTGTTAAAAATAAATTAATTAAGCCTGGTGACATGGCACACGCCTATAGTCCTAGCTACTCAGGAGGCTGAGGTGGGAGGATTGCTTGAGCCCAGTTCAGGCCACCCTGAGCAATGCAACAAGATCCCCAACTAAAAAATAAATAAATAAATAAGATAAATGTCAATAAAATAAATGTTTATAAATAAGATTTTCATATAATTTACAGTCTTTTTTATTTCAGACGGAGTCTCACTCTGCCACCAAGGCTGGAGTGCAGTGGCGTGATCTCGGCTCACTGCAAGCTCCGTCTCCCGGGTTCATGCCATTCTCCTACCTCAGCCTCCTGAGTAGCTGGGACTACAGGCACCTGCCACTACGCCCGACTAATGTTTTTTGTATTTTTAGTAGAGATGGGGTTTCACCGTGTTAGCCAGGATGGTCTCAATCTCCTGACCTTGTGATCTACCTGCCTCAGCCTCCCAAAGTGCTAGGATTACAGGCGTGAGCCACCGTACCCAGCCATGTAATTTAAAATCTTAAAGTTACGTT